CATTTTTTCACGCAGATTTCAGTTAAATTTCAAGCAGTGCGCGAAGACTGATCATTTGAATATTTTCAGAGTCGTTAAACTCATTTGCGCTCAGCATCAACTTTTTTACGTTCTGTTTCTCTAATTATAATCAATTATAGGCTTGTTAGGTTATAGTATAATTTAGTTTCTCAAAACAAATTCTGTCACGTAAAGAATATAATCGTCAATAAAGCTGTTTTGGTAATATAATTCAGTGAAGCGTCGTGGGCCGGATCCGGCCCGCTGGCCGTAGTTTGCCGACCCCTGATCTAAACCCTTCAATGAAAGTTTGATCATTATACTGTGTCGGCCGATATTTGTCCTATCACTGCATCTAGAAATCACTGATACATTCATGCATAGACCGATTTCGATATGAAGGTATCAAATATAATTGGCTTCATAACTGCAAACTCTCACTTAACAACGAAACATTGCGATAATCCTAAGTGCTGAAAGAGCAACTCAAAAATACGATTTCAATCCATTCATTGCTAGTAGACGGTTTAACAAGTATTTCGTGGTTGCTGTAGTAAATTAGTCAACTCAAAGGCGAGCAACGATGAACACAATTGAATTGATATGAGAAGACATTTTAAATTCTCGGGTCGGCCATGGATTGAATATTTTACGCAACACCGCTGAAAAGTCGCTTTTTAAGAAGTGGTCTAATCGCGATGAGTGTTGCTCGGGAATTTTCTATTCTGAACCCCCTCCCTTTTAGAAAACCATGTTATATTTGAATCACCGTCGTCAAATTTTATTAGTGACGTTAATGCTTCTTCACAGATACAAAATTAACCAAGTCAGTTGTTTTTTAAGTGAACCAATAGCTCGCGGAGCCCTGAGGCTCCGTACGGAGCACTTATAGCAGTGGGGATCAATGCCCGACAAAAGACTCATCTTCATCGTAGAAATACATCACTCAAATCATACATATAAGCGGAATAACAGCGAATAATGTGTAAAGATTGGTTTCACGTGTATTCTTATAAATGATTATTCACGTCCTCAATGTGTTGTTTGTTTCAACGAACAAACGTTCCTCATGTTCTTACCAACAAAAGCTTGAAAGCAGCGATATTGAAACGCCATCTTACAGCAAAGCATCCAAAATTCATTAAAAAACCAATACATTTTTTCGCGCCTATTAGCGTTTTCATACATAACATACAATTACAGATCAAGGCTAGAGGTAGAAAAATATAATCGAGTTGCCGTCTCCCAAATTAAACCTCGATTTGATATATTGTGTATTATACACAAAGCTTATAATTTGCATTAGTCATAATAAACGCTATTATTCACAATTTTATGTGCTAAGTTTCATAAAATTTTGTGCAATAAAAATGCTAGTGTCGACAATAGTCTTAAAATCGATAACTAATTACATGTTTACTAAATGCTTGGGTCGCGAGAATTTTTTTTTGGGTCCCGCTAAAAAGTAGTTGCGGACCCCTGGTCTAGAGCAGTAGTTCTCAAACTGGTTGTTTGACAATGTTGAAATTTTGTCCATTACGTCACCACTTTTTCCAGTAGTTTTTGTGCAAAACAAAAATTTAGTTTTGATATCATTTTGTTGTTAGCATAACGACAGTGCATTTAAAATCACAATCCTTTCCTCTCCACTTACATATGTGAACATTGGGTTTCCTACACTTGTTAAAATCAAGACGAAAGCATGGAACAAACTTGATGAACACACGAGCTTCTTGTATTGCGTACGTGAGGAATGGCAGCTAATTGTTGTCCGAATAGCTCTATCGTCACGCTAATAACCGAATTGCGTAAGTCATTTTTAGCAGTTTTGAGAAAAACGTAAAAAACTTCCTAATGATATTGTTATGCCATTGAGAGTCAATAATTTGCCATGGTTCAATTTTTTGATCGTAGCCGGATTTAAGTAAATTTGTATGATGCAGTTAAGTGACGTCATAATGGCGCACTGTGACTTAGGCAGAAATGTGTCTATGACTTGGGGACATACGCAATTTTGCAACTTTACTATATGCACCAGTCCTGAAAACTAAACATTCCAAAAACGAATGTAATTCTCAGTATCTACAATGTCTAATCCCCAAAATAGCTAATCAGTTTCAGTTACATTATTTTTTATGTATAAGAATATATATATCATCAATATAACACGCTCTGCACACCCACCGAAATAAGACTAAGATTAAATATAAAGAAAAAAACAGCAATGCACCCAATATAAGAGCCAACCAAGATGAATTGGACTCGGACAGTGAATATCGCAAGTGCACGCCTTCCTATACTGTAGTATAAATTCAAATTAATACGCGCTAGATTCCGAGATGCAAAAACTCGAAAATACTTCGCCGAGATTATTTTGCCTCTGTGACGTCACAATAGTCCTGCGGTAACAATGATAATTCATTATGAAGAAACAATTGCACAAATGTGCATGTCATACTAAATCTCCATTTTTATGGGTTTCGGAATTCTTAAAAAAAAATCTGAGTTAACAGATAGGTGCGCAGTATTACATAAATACCTATTTTATGAAAAACTCAAAATCGCCAAAAATGACTTACGCAATTCGGTTTTTACCGTGACGCTATGCTATGTTCTTATATTTTGTTTTTGGTTTGAAAATTGTGGGGGTCCGCGTAGTACAAGTAACCTTCGACTTCGACTGACCACCAGATTGCAACAATCACGAACGCAGAACCGCCACAAGGTGCGCAATTTTTGATTTCGATGTCGTAATCGCACAAATAAACGAATCCCATAGAACCCATACAATTTTTGAAATAAATATAGGGGGGTAACCCTCTAGCGACAACAGTAATCTTCAACTACTCAACATTTCAAAGGGGTCAAGTAATAAAGAGAAAGACGATTTTTTTCATAACAACAAGAACAAGAATCGAACAAGATCTATTAGCCACTTTGTGTCCTATGCACTGTTCGCAACAAACAAGGTTAAGTATGATGCAGTAGGAACATTGTCGTCTCATTGGTCAAGCATTTCATATCAGACATATAAATTTTTTTCTTTTGTGTATTCTGTCTTTTTACAATTATTTTGCTGCAATATAATTGGAAAGTTTATTTTGGCTTGGAGAATTCTCTTAATAAATGAATTTTCCTACTGTCCGTACATTGAGTGAGTACATTGGAATCGAATTACATTGGTATTCTAATGAAAATGATCACTAAACGTCGGAAAGCCGGTATTCTCGGAAAAAGACTTACAGTGTTTAAACACGTTTACATTATTGGGGACAGTCGTTTCTGTCATATTTGAATAAGTCTATAAGGTAATCACCCTTTAATTCTACTAATGCAAGACAATGCATGAATGGGATTCAACGAAATTTTCTCCTAATTATTAACATTTAAAATCGAATTCTACAAGAATGAATCATTTTGAATAAGCTTTTCCTTGCAAATACGCGACATAAATAATTTCTTGTTGACCATAATGAAATGATTGAACCAATTGTATTATTTGAACCCACTGCTATACAAGAAATCCATTTGAAAGTAAAATAATTGCACGATATAATTACTACGATATTAACGCTTTGTATTAGGGCTGGCATATACCCATCAATCAAAACCAAAAATATAACCACTTTTACTTTATTTTTCTACTGCAATAAAGTCGCTGGAGCAAACATTGGTCAGTGGGTAATATATTCTACAAGTTTAATGATGTTATGCTAAACATCACTTCCAGCATGAAGCATTATGTTTTAACCTAAAGCGGGGCGCACAACACAGGGCACGCGTGCCCAATTTCAGTATACAGTCGTGGCACACAACGAGAATATTTCAAAAACTTTCGCTTGTATTCCCAATTGAGTTGTGCACCGCCGATCTAAAGCACTACAATATTATAGGCATTTGATTAGCATGGGAATATTCTGCCAGTTTGCTTTTCAGGTGTGCAAACAGGCTACGCCATTTATAGCATAGTACTAGAACCATATCGCACTTGGAACAGACGTTGCAAAAAAATCCAATCGTGTATTATCAAGCAGATTCTTGAGAAAGTCGTTACATTTCGTCACCATGTCGTAACTCTTTTTTTTTATACAAATAGGGATATTCAAAACAAAGTTAGCAAAAAATTCTGTTCCTGAATAAAATCTTGCTTAAAGAAATATTTTCAAAATTGAAATATATTTATGCTAGCATTTTAGGTTATCATCCGAGTCTGTGCCTCGAAGTAAACACAAATGCCTCTAGTAGGCCTATAGACATCGATGAATCTTTTTTTACGAGTTACAATGCTTGGATACAATGCTTGTGCGTTATGTATCATTGATCATAACCATGATTTTGTGGCGCAAGAATCCAAAACCCCAAACTAAAATTGAGGTGTTTGTGAAATATTTGACTTATACAAATGTATGGCATTTGTATAGTGCACAAACATAATATGTTTCCCGCATAACAAATTTCTTTAGACATGCTTTAACATACGGCAAACAAAAAAACAATTGGAAATATAAAAGATCATGTTACTTAACTTCTTCGCAATTCATTTGCCTTAAGTA